CATCTAAGTCAGAAAGAGTTCGTGTGGATAGTCACCATCCCAAAAAGCCAAGCCCTGTGAGAGGAGAGGCTCGTGGTACTGTTTCTCAGAAGGATACGAGTCCTGCTGCTGCGACGAATAACAGGACAAGAGTCTCGAAGGACGACGCTTTTAACTCTTTTGTTGCTGACTTTGATACCACGAAGCTTGATAATGGTAATAAACCTGCGAATGAAGAGGCATTGGAAGCTGAGGTAGAGAGGTTAAAAGATGAGTTGAAGCAAACAAAGTCAGAGAAGGCCGAGATAACGGCTAAATTCGAAAAGCTTTCTGCTATCTGCAGATCGCAGAGGCAAGAGTTGCAGGATCTTAAGCAAACACTTGCCTCTAAAACCGCGACGTCGTCACCGAGCAGAGACTTTCCACAAAACCAAAGCTCTCCAGGGATGCGTTCCACGACATCAACTCCATCGGTACTTTCTTGGTTTCTTGCTTAAAGATCACCTCAGTCTCTTACATCTTATGATTGTATTTTTCTTTCGTGTTGAAACAGAGAGATAAGGTTGAAGGAAGTATGTGGGAAGTTCAGCAAGACAGATCTGATTGGTCAACAGGAAGCTCGGATCCAAATTCATGGCAACCTTTTAGCGATGAACCAAAACCGGTGCTGGAATCTGCTACAAGGAGTAACAGCAATACCATTCATCAGTCTGTGAGAACCAAAAGTAAACCAGCTTCTTCAGCTCCTGCTCCGGCAAGCCAAGGTTTTGAGCCATGGGGTTTCGAGACAGAATCTTTCAGAGCAGCTGCAACGTCTTCAGCTTCAGTTTCTGCTTCTGCAACCCAGAGATCTGTAACTTCTGGGAACACTGCACAGCGGTTTGGGAACTCAAAGATGAGAGAGAACCAGAAAGCTGCACAACCTGCAGGATGGGCTGGCTTCTAAAAACTCTCTTTTCCTATAATGACCATTGCTATTCCTCTTACAAGAAGAGCTTCTTCTTGCCATTACAGAATCTTAATATTTTTGTAGATGATGATCATCCTCTGTTTTTGTGCTGCTGCTAAATATATCCACTATTTCTGTAGATTGTTTAAACTTCACAGATCTGGTTTTTTTTTTTTTTTTTTTTTGCGGAATGTATAACGCAATTCTGATCTGTGCCCAAGATCTCGGCTTTTAGATTACCAAATCATAATACCATATTGGAAAGAAGAAAAAAGAGTTTAGATCTAAACGGCTGCTTTTCTTGGAGCATCTCGAAGAGGCACTATATCCTCAAATTGTGTAATCTGATGGTCCATATTTGTGTTTGTCGATTAAAATATGAAAATGCGTTTGGGTTGGAGCTAATGTCCTCTATAACCCAAACCAAAAATCATCTAACTAAATCGAACTGAACTTTGCTTCTGAATCTAATTGGAGTTAATATTTCTAAACCAAATGTTGTGCAAAAATACATCTAAACTTGTAATTAAATTAATTATAATAATTAAAATTGTATTGTTTTATCTAAAACTGAACCGTACTAGAATCGGAAATATCAAACTAAATTTTCAAAACTAAACTTTAAGGATAAATCACTAACTTTTTCACACAAATGAAAAACTGCTCTAAATAAATTTAATTTGGTAGTAACAAACCAGGCTTGATTAACCAATATCATGAGTTGCATCGTGCATAGTCTTGTTGTGTGGGGCTTGGTTCTGCATTTTTAAACTAAAATTCTTTAGATTCATCCAGAAATATTCAAGTCGAATTTTTAACGAAGTCCTTTGTTGTTCATCTTTGCGAATGCTTGACTTGTAAATATTTTATATTAAGTTCACTATTAATAGATGATGTATGTTTGCAACCATGTCAAATTGGAGCTTGACACTTTACATGCAGATCACCATGGTGGGCAAGGAGATTGAAGCATGATTATACTCGGAGAAAGAAAATCGAAAGTATACTCTTTTAGCTAAAGATGCAAATAATGAAGGAAGGAGATTGATACCTTTACAAGCTGTTTCGAGTCAATGAAAACAAGTAGTACAGAATTGCAGCTCGATTTTGATCATCATCCATAATCTAAATTATATTGTTTAATCCATAACTAGTGGAAGATGATCTAAGAATACAAGAAGAGAATTTTATGTAATCTTGTAAATAAATTAATTAGAATAATTAAATCACTATAATCAGAAATATCAAACTAAATTTTCAAAACTGAACTTTGAGGATAAATTAACTTTTTCACATAAATGAAAAATCGTTTTTTTTCTTTCACTTTTTAGAGTTTTAGAGCTATGCAAGGTACCAAATTTGAATCTTGGGTTGAACCTAATGTCATCTATAAATCCAACCAAAATCTTCTAAATAAACCAAACTAAAATTTGTTTCTGAATTTAGTTGGAATTAATTCTTTCAAATCAAATTTTCTGCAGTCAAATATATCTAAGTTTGTAAGTAAATTAATTATAATAACTAAAGTTATATTGTAAATTAATTATTTTTATCTAAAACTGAATTGGATCTGAATCAAAAAAATCGAACCAAATTTTCAAAATCGAAATTTGAGGACAAATCACATCGACCTTTTCACCAAAATTGAAAACCGCTACTTTGCATTATTAGAATTTTAGAGCTGTAGAGAAATAAAGGTACCAAGTTTGAATTTTTTCCCTTAGGTTGGAGTTTTCATGTCATTTACAAACCGAACCAAAATCTTCTAACTAAACTGAACTAAATGTTGCTTGTAAATCTAGTTGGAACTAAATTTTCTAAACGAAATTTTGTAAAATCAAAACATATCTAAATTGTAAGTAAACTAGGTATTTATCCACGCTATGCTGCGGGATATTTTTCTAAATTTTGTATATATTTTTAATATAATAAAATTATTTTTATAATGTAAATGAGTATTATATTTATTTTTTATTAGCTTAAGTTATGTATTTATATGTTTTAAATCTGAATAAACAATATATTTTTTTATTTTTTAAAATTATAATTTGCTATTAAATTTAGTTAGCCAACTAATTATAAATATATATATATATATGAATAAAATATATAAGAATAAAACAATACATCTTTAGTACCTTCATGCTAATGGCAAATGTAATATATTTTCTCCAATAAATTGCCACATGATCCTCCTTTGTAATTATATAAAGCAAAATATCATTTAAAAAAGATTTATTAATTAATATGATTTTTTTGAATTATAAAATTTATTAATTTATCAAATATTTTATTATAACATATGTTTCTAAAACTACCAAACTATAATCAATAAAATTCATATCAAAACAATTGCCATTGCTTTAGAACTAAATAAAAAATTATATTTGAACTCTTAAAATACCGTTTTAGTTAAAGTTAAATAATTAAATTTTGGTTACTGTAAACATACTTTAACTTAGAAATTTAGCACATAGAAATTTCATCTTCTTACAAAAATCAAAAAATCGCATTTTCCGTCAAAACAAAAAAACTTAATTTTCCCATTAAACTGAGAAATCGGCTAATCCCGCCAAAACCAAAAAATTTATTTTCTCGTCAAACCTAAAACCTAAAACTTCATTTTCCCGCGAAAACCTGTGTTTTTCCACCAAAGCCGAGAAATTACGTTTTTTCACAAAAACCAAAAAAATTCATCTTTCTGCAAAAACCAAAAAAAAAATTGTATTTTCTCGCCAAAATCGAAAAATTTATTTTTCCTGCAAAAACTGAGAAATCGTCTATTCCTGCCAAAAAAAAAATATTTTTTTGTCAAGCCTAAAATCACGCTTTCCTACAAAAACAAATAAGCTACAATTTCCTGCGAAAACCAAAAATTACATTATCTTCCGTGAAATTGTGTTTTCCCGCAAAAACTAAGAAATTGTTATGTTTTTATCGGTTCAAATTTTTGGTGATGTGTGAGCTTCTTATAACATAAGGCTTTTTGTGTTGTTGTTATGGAAGCATAGTTGATGCCGAACCTACATTTTTTCAATCATATACGTCTATGTCAAACAAACAAATAGCTAGATTTTTTATTATTATTTATTTGTTGTTATTTATTATTTGAATTTGGTTTCGGCAAAAAAAAAGAAAACAATGATTTATTTTTTTATTTGTTTTTTATTTATTGTTTGGATTCGGTAAAAAATAAAATAATGTTTTTTATTTGTTGTTATTAGTTATTTGGGCTTGAGTTTGGTAAAAAATAAAATAAAAATTAATAGAAAAAATATTTGGGTTTTTAATGGGTTTAAGTTTAAAAATTAAAATAAGTAGATGAGATGTATTAATAAAATGTTTTTATTGGTGATTATTTTTGTTGATGTGTCATGTTTATTAAGCTTAAAAAAGTTGAGGTGTCAAGCCATGGAGAGACTTTAATGTTATTGTTATGTTTTTATCGGTTCAAATTTTTGCTGATGTGTGAGCTTCTTATAACATAAAGCTTTTTGCGTTGTTGTCATGGAAGCATAGTTGATGCTGAGCCTACACTTTTTTCAATCATATACGTCTATGTCAAACAAATAGATAGCTAGAATTTTTTTATTATTTATTTGTTGTTATTTATTATTTGCATTTGGTTTTGGCAAAAAGAGGAAACAACGATTTATTTTTTTTATTTATTATTTGGGTTTGGATTTGATAAAAAATAAAATAATAATTTTTTATTTACTGTTATTAATTATTTGGGTTTGAGTTTGGTAAAAAATAAAATAAAAATTAATAGAAAAAATATTTAGGTTTTTAATGGGGTTAAGTTTAAAAATTAAAATAAGTAGATGAGATGTATTAATAAAATGTTTTGATTGGTGATTATTTTTGCTGAGGTATCATGTTTATAAAGTTTAAAAAATTTGAGGTGTCAAGCCATGAAGAGACTTTAGTGTTATTGTTGTGTTGATTAATTGTCATAGCTAAAATTCTATTATAATTGTTATTGTTTTATCCAAAACTAATCAGAAAAATCGAACCAAATTTTATAAATTGAATTTTGAGAGCACAAAATCACACACTAACTATTTCGGCCCAAAATGAAAACCGCTCTTTTTGGCGTTTTAAATTTTTTTAGTGTGTTCAGAAATAAATATATAAATCTTTCTCTTTATTCATTCGCTTTCCCCAAATTTCACCGAAATCAAAGTTTTTTCCGCTGGAGAAGAATGTCTACTCCCAATCCTAATCCCAATCTTAATCCCAATCCCACCGTCTCTGCCGCGGTATCGCGTTTCGTCACCGCATCGGAAACTCCGGTGACACAATCTAACAACACAGTCAAAACGCCTTCTTCTCAACCGCCGCCAGCTCCGTCGTACAGAGCTATAGCTCCGCTTCGCCGTCATCCTCAACAGAATAACATTTACCCGCATCCTTTCCCGGTTAGACTGCCGAGTTCCGTACCTGGTTCGCCTCACCAAGACCCTTCAGGTCTTCTATACCCGTTTGCTTCTTCGGGTCGAGGGTTACCGACCCGACCCGGAAGACAGAATCCGAGTCCCTTGGTTGATCCAGCAGGTAGTCCGGGTGGTTACCCTCCTCGCCCGGCTTATACATTTCCCCGTGGACAACCTGTGTCGAATTTGGATCCAATGGTTCAGTTCATGAGAGCTGCACACCCTCAGATTCAACAGTCTTCTCATCTCGGGTCGGGTTACATGAAGGGGGTTCCTCACTTCCTGCAACCTCGGGTTAGTTAGATTTTTCTTTCTCTAATCGAACAATTTTTTGTTTGATCATTGTGTTTAATTCCTTGATAATGGTTCGTGCAACAGGTTGATTTGTAAAATTTTAGGTTTTCGTTTTGTTCTAAGAGGGAAGAACATCAATTGTTTTGCTTTCTCTGCTTTTACATGTTAAAGCTTTTAGCTTGTGTTGTTTAGTGTAAAAGGGTTTTTGGCATTCTTATTTGGCTTAGTGATTGTAGTTAAATGGACCTGTGTTTTCAAATGATTTGAATTGCAATTTGTAATGAACACAAAGGTTTAAACTTTCTTTGATCAGATTGTGTGCGTCGATTTTTTGCTATACACTTATACTCAATTCTCTTATGAACTCTTTTTTTACGGATGAAGAAAAGGTTGACACTTTCTGTTAGATCTCAGCAAGTGTTTACATTGTTTTGCTCCTTGTGTGCGATTACATTTTGTAAAGTTTGGATTTTTGATAATTAGGTTGCTCATCCTCCTACTTCGATTCTAGACAACAGTGGGCGTAAAAATGCGAGGTACTATCTTCTTTCCTCTATGCATAGTTAATTACAAACTTCTTTTGAAATTTTCTAATGTTTTCGTTTCTTTACTATGTTGTTTAGAAACCGAGAGGACGTGTTGGTCCTTGTTAGAAAAAGAAAGGTAAAAGTTGTATCTATACCTTTTTGGGTTTTAGCATTATCATTCGAGACTGCTTGCTTTGCACTTTGGGTAATTTTTAATTACTTTTCATTTGTTTTTTCAGGTTAGGATAAGAGAGGGGGCTTCTCTGTATTCACTTTGTCGATCGTGGCTGAGAAATGGTGCTCATGAGGGAGTTCAGGTTCGCATCAATCTCTGTTTTGCTTTTGTGATTTAATGTATAAGTCGTCGGCGCTAATGGATTTGCTTACAGCAGCAGCGAAGTGATACAGTGACGTATTTGCCAAAGCCTTTACCTGTGGATATGATGGAGACAAGTTTGCCGAAAGATCAGGTTGAAGAACCAAATGGTGAAGAAGACAAAGAGGTTTCGTGTCTCTTCTTTCTAAAATGTTAATGGTGAAGGGTGATGCTAAGTTTAATTACTTAATACAACTCTTTGATGAGCTTCAGGACGAGGAATCTGTGAAACTGTTGTCAGATTCTGATATTTTGAAAAGACATGTGGACCGAGCTAAGAAGGTTCGCGCTCGGTGAGTAGTATCCTCAAAGCAAAGTGGGTTTCTTGGTGATTCAAGATGGAATATGTTTTGTGAATAAAAATTGCGGTTTCGTTTGGTTTCAGATTAAGAGAAGAAAGGTTGAAGAGGATCGCGAGGTACAAGGCAAGATTGGCTCTTCTTCTGCCACCATTTGGAGAGCAATGCAAGAACGAGTAAGGATATAAAGTTGGGGGGTTTTATGTGAATATTCTTGCAGTTGATCTAGAAATAACATAAGGTACCTTAGATAAGTGTGTTACAGTGTTGTGTGTGTGTTTTTGTTGGTTCTTGTCTCTTATTAGACTCGTTTAAAATTAAAAATCTCGTTGTTCTTGGTCTTAAAACAGTAATCATCAACCTTATCTGTATTTGCTGACTTTTTTCTTTTTTTTTTAAATATGGACCCCGTGATGTTGGTCCAGGCGATTTGATGAATCAACAAACGATTCGAAAAACATCTATAATCCAAGTTCTTTAAAAAGAAATGATGCAATATTGCAACGGCGTGATCTTAATTTTTGCTGTATTAAAAACCCTTCAATTATGTTCGAAAACAAAAGCATTATCATTGAATTGTTTTAAGAGATATCTGACTTAAAATAATTGTAGGTTAACTTCGTGGACCAATAGCATAAGTTGCAGAGTCAACGCAACAAAAGCATCTTTCAAACACAGTTTTGTGTAGTTTAGTTTTTGATCGTCCATTTTGCGGATTTATATATCTTTACGCATTCAAAAATTCTTTTCGTATTTGTTACTCTAATATTCAATTTCGGTAAATTATATTCTAATTTAAAAATAAGTGTTTTGAATATAAGAGAATTGATGCTTACGTTTTTTTTTTTTTTTTTTTTTTTTTTTTGCTATGAACGTTAATATAATATATGAATGAAAAGTTTAGAAATCACAAGAAGAAATGTAATTCTAATAATATGCTTCCTTGGCAAAAAAGAATAAAAAAAACAAGGAAAACATTACTCATAAACCAATAAAAGAAAACTCATCTAGTCCAATCTCTGAAGTCTGAAGCGTCGTCTTCGTCTTCGTCTTCATGCTTACGTACTTGTCTAAACACCTCGTGTAAAGATTGATTAACGTAAAATTCCATTAATATATAGCGTTTTTAGCATTAGCATGCTAATAGACTAATAGTAAATTGTAAAGAATACTTCTGGTAGTATGAATACGAAAATTGGACTGGTTGTTTGATATAGCTACTTGCCTCGTGACTTGCTGAAAACTTTTTCAGTTCTTTCGTCCCATACGACAATGAAAGAGCATTACACACCTTTTGTCTAGTCGTTTATATTTGTGACATAGTTTTTGTCGGAAATGTTGACTTCAACCTACATGCTTGACTCAATCGATTTTTTACCTAAAAGATAATTGTCCAAATTCATTAAAAAAGAACTAAAAAGTATAAAAGAAAAGGATGTGAACACAAAGACACGATTAGAAGAACAGAGACCTTGCCAATGTCAAAAAAAAAAAAAGAACATGCCTTCTTTTTATTTTACAATCTTATGGATCAAATTGAAACTGATTTTATGATCTGCATTAAGCATCATCATCATATGTATACAATGATTACACCCAACTAATCAATTACAAAAATATCGATTTCCACTCACGAACAGCAATTTATCCTCTAAATTAACAATTTGATTGAAACTTGGACACTGGGTGATGTATGTATGATGCATGAGATTGAATTAAATTACTACTATTGTTTATCCAATTCATACAGTCAAGAGAAACCATTTAATTCTTTCGTTTTCCCAGACCTGAAACCTCTTTAAAAAATTAAATTAAAATATAGAGGTAAAGTGAGAAAAGCAATGAACCTCATAAAAAAAGAATCATATTAATGGAATGTCACGTTAATTAATATAATGACGGCAAAAACAAATTTAAATTATATACAGTACTAGTTTTCTAAAGTATATTCTTATAGATTCTTCAAAATGTTCCCTTCGTTTCTAGTACGTGTCTTTTATAAATACCAAAAAGTCCAAAGCCCTCACAAATTTCTCGCCAGTTTCCAACTTCATCGTCCCATCCTCTCTCCATATGCATACACGTGTGCAAGTATATATATTTGTACGTCGTTATTTAATTCTTTTTGTTATATAAGGTTTAGTATGAAACAATTAACTTGCATTTTATTATGTAATGTTCAAGAAAAAAACAATTAACTTTTGCTTAACTTGGAGCACAATTATAAATTTAAGATAAAAAAAACAAGCTTAATTATGTAGATTGTTTCCTCACGTTTCAAAAAGGATCTTAGGTTTTTGGCCTCACATATACTTTTCTAGGAACCTTTGACAAATTCGCTTACAAAACAGCATTTATGTTTGCATAGATAAGTGCAATTATTATCACATGCACATGTTTCCCGATATCTAGACGACCAGACTAGTCTCATAACGTACATGCATCTCAGGTAAGTGAGCAACAGAAAAAAAAAAAAAAAGAGAAAGGAGCAAAAAAATGGCGAGGAAAGGGAAAGAAGTGTTGAATGCTTTGGATGCGGCCAAAACGCAGATGTACCATTTCACAGCGATTGTAATCGCGGGTATGGGTTTTTTTACCGATGCTTACGACCTCTTTAGCATCTCTCTCGTAACAAAGCTTCTTGGCCGCATATACTACCATGTTAATGGCTCCAAGAAGCCTGGAACGCTCCCTCCAAACGTTGCTGCCGCTGTTAATGGCGTTGCCTTCTGCGGTACCCTCGCTGGCCAGCTCTTCTTTGGCTGGCTCGGAGACAAGCTTGGCCGCAAGAAAGTTTACGGTAACCTTTTTTATTTCTCTGGTCCTCGGAGATGTTTGATTAGTCACAAGAAAGTAACAAAGTATATGCTACAAAATTGGAACTTAATTAAAACTTCAAAACAAGCGGATACTAGAAAAATATACATATGAATTTATACATGTCCAAAACGTTCATCGACAAAAGTTTTTTTTTATATATTCATATGGGAACACTAATGAAAATATATTTATTTTGTCAATATAGGTATCACCTTGATGGTCATGGTACTGTGTTCGCTTGGGTCGGGTCTATCATTCGGTCACTCGGCAAACGGAGTAATGGCCACACTCTGCTTCTTTCGGTTCTGGCTCGGTTTCGGCATAGGCGGCGACTACCCTCTCTCGGCCACCATCATGTCGGAATACGCCAACAAGAAGACACGTGGTGCATTCATAGCCGCCGTTTTCGCCATGCAAGGCTTCGGAATCTTGGCCGGAGGAATCGTGTCTCTCATCGTGTCGAGTGCGTTTGACCACGCCTTCGACGCTCCGACCTATGAGGTTGATCCGGTTGGATCCACTGTACCGCAGGCGGATTACGTGTGGCGGATTGTGCTCATGTTTGGAGCTATTCCGGCGTTGCTAACTTATTATTGGCGGATGAAGATGCCGGAAACCGCTCGGTATACCGCTCTGGTTGCTGGGAATACCAATCAAGCCGCCGCCGATATGTCTAAGGTACGTTCTAAACTAATCAGTCTAACCATTTTTTCATTTTTTGCTTGTTGTTTTTGAACTTCACGAAACTGATTTATATTTTTTTCAGACTCAAGCTAAAGAAAATGTTATTAACGAATTGTGAAATTGGTTAACATAAGTATGATTTCGTAAAACTATACTATTTTCTATATACTGAATATTTTATTTTTCTATTACACTTGAGCATTTGTGAGTCTGTGACACATGATACAATTATGAAAATAAAATAAAATTATATAATCATGTACAACTGTGAAATTAATAACCAAAATAACCTTGAAAAAGCTTTAAAACAACTAAAAGCATACTAAAAACAAAGCAATTATACTACTTGCAGATTTAATCGAAAATTCATCCATATAATTTTATTTTTCCAATGTTATTTCATTTCCACCATAATTTCAAGTGTTCACAAAATAAAACGATGATATTCAAATTTAATGTAAGATTGCAATTTTAAAAAGTCGTAATATTTACAAACCAGGTGCTTCAAGTGGATCTAATTGCAGAAGAAGAAGTACAACAACAACAACAGTCAACTCCGTCTTCATCAAACCCTAACTCCTTCGGCTTATTCTCTAGAGAATTCGCTCGCCGTCACGGCCTCCACCTCGTCGGAACAACCACGACGTGGTTCCTCCTCGACATCGCCTATTACAGCAGCAACCTCTTCCAAAAGGACATTTACAGCGCCATCGGATGGATTCCCGCCGCCGAGACCATGAACGCGATCCACGAAGTCTTCACCGTCTCCAGAGCTCAAACGCTAATCGCTCTCTGCGGCACCGTCCCTGGTTACTGGTTCACCGTCGCTTTCATCGATTACCTCGGTCGATTCTTCATCCAACTGATGGGATTCATCTTCATGACCGTCTTTATGTTCGCCCTCGCGATCCCTTATGATCACTGGAGGCACAGAGACAATCGAATTGGTTTCTTAGTTATGTATTCGTTGACGATGTTCTTCGCGAATTTCGGGCCTAATGCGACGACGTTTGTTGTTCCCGCTGAGATTTTCCCGGCGAGGCTTCGATCGACTTGTCACGGGATATCGGCGGCTTCCGGTAAGGCCGGAGCGATCGTCGGAGCGTTTGGGTTTCTTTACGCGGCGCAGAGCACTGATCCGAAGAAGACAGACGCTGGTTATCCGCCGGGAATCGGAGTGAGGAATTCGCTGTTGATGCTGGGAGGTGTTAATCTCTTGGGGATAGTTTTCACTCTGTTGGTTCCGGAATCGAAAGGGATGTCTCTGGAAGAGCTCTCGAGAGAGGATGAGGAGCAAATCGGCGGCGATGCGACGGAGATGACCGTAGCAAATTCCGGTAGAACAGTCCCGGTTTGATTTTTTTTTGTTTTCTGTTTTGTCCCCATGCGTTGTTGTAATTACTTATTTTAACGATCATATCATATATGGGGTTATGCTGTATCTTTATATACTTCCGGGGCCAATTTAGCATTTATTAGAATTACAATGGGCATCATCCGAAACATATTACTACGAGCTTGCTTTTTGTTGTTGTGGCATTTCGTCTTCTTCCTTTGGACTGGAGACCCATAAATAAGGAAAATCTGTGGACTTTGATGAGCTTCTACTTCAATGGCCGAGTCAACACGAATTTCTTCGCTTCAATGGCGGATACTGCCACAGATTTTCGCTTTCCTCTTGTTTTTTCCGATGGTCTGGGGAAGTTTCTTTGAGCCTTTCAATGTCAGCTACGACCACAGGGCTCTAATCGTCGCCGGGAAACGGCGCATGCTCGTCTCCGCTGGAATTCACTACCCTCGCGCCACTCCTGAAGTAACTACAGCTTTCACCGATCTTTCTATTTTCAGTAATTTTGACGATTTCTGATTGTTTTGCTCAAATGCTCTTTCTTCAGTTCAGTGATTGATTTCTGTTTGGGATCGTGAAATTGGTTTCAGATGTGGCGTGATCTCATCACAAAGAGCAAAGAAGGTGGTGCTGATGTGATTCAAACCTATGTGTTCTGGAACGGGCACGAGCCTGTAAAGGGTCAGGTTTGGCCAAATCTCTCCTGATTCTGTGCTATCTCTCTGCATTTGAAACTGAGAATTCTGATGTTTCTTTTTCTATGGATTTGCTCAGTACAAATTTGAAGGAAGATACGACCTTGTCAAGTTTGTGAAGCTTGTTGGATCAAGTGGTCTCTATCTCCATCTACGCATAGGTCCTTACGTTTGTGCTGAGTGGAACTTCGGGTATTGGTCTTCTCACAGCCATTGTTGTCTTCTTGATTGTTTTAAGTTCATCTCTCTTTATATCCTTTTGCTTCAAATTATTTGTTAGGGGGTTTCCAGTGTGGTTGCGTGATGTTCCTGGCATAGAGTTTCGAACAGACAATGAACCTTTTAAGGTACATTATTGATTCGAATGGCTCATTTCCACATTTTCCTTTTACTATTTTACTTTCTAGGTTCTGTTTTAGCTTTTGTTATCTTCCTAAGTTAATCATATCTTTCTGTTTGCTATATTTCTCCCAGGAGGAGATGCAGAAGTTTGTAACGAAGATTGTGGATTTGATGCGAGAAGCAAAGCTGTTTTGTTGGCAAGGCGGTCCCATAATCATGCTGCAGGTCATAATGAGAATGCTTTATTTAGTTTTTAGACTTTGTTTCCAGATCAGTGTGCCTTCTTGTTTGATGGGAATGCACTGGACTGATTTTTTCTTTTTTTATTTATTTATACAGATTGAGAATGAATATGGGGATGTTGAGAAATCTTACGGGCAGAAGGGAAAGGATTACGTCAAATGGGCTGCAAGCATGGCTCTAGGGCTTGGTGCTGGAGTTCCGTGGGTTATGTGCAAGCAAGCGGATGCTCCAGAGAATATTGTAATGCTGCTAACTTGATTTTTGTGCTTAGATCATGTAGCTGAGCCTTTTCACCATGCTGATGTGTTTTTTATAGAGATTTTCAGTTTCTTTGAATTCCTAATATATGATTGAGATGCTTTATTGTTAACCAGTATTTTCCGTTGATTTACTTTTGAATTTAAAGAGGGTGTATTGGTAACCAGTTAATATATGATTGGGATGCTTTATTGGTAACAAGAGAATTGATTCCTTGCTATTGAAAGATTATTTGATTCTTGACAAAAAAGGATGCTACGCATCTGTTATAGTTCCCTGTAAGTAGCATCCTGTTTGACGTCTATTAATCTCTTTTTGTCTCAGATTGATGCATGCAATGGATACTATTGTGATGGTTTTAAACCAAATTCGCAGAAGAAGCCAGTACTTTGGACAGAAGATTGGGATGGATGGTATGATTTTTGTCATGCAGTCTTCTAACAAAGCTTTGCTCTTATCTAAGAAAGTGTTTGATTCCAGTAGGTATTTGAACTAAATGAGTATGTTAGGTTGACTTTTTGAAGGTACACGAAGTGGGGTGGAAGTTTGCCTCACAGACCTGCTGAAGATCTTGCATTTGCAGTCGCAAGATTTTATCAGCGGGGAGGAAGCTTTCAAAATTATTACATGGTACAGTAATTACTCTTTAGATTTTTTTATTCTATTTCTCTTTTCCACTTTCAGAGCCCAAGTTCATTTGCAGCATCGTCTTTCTGTGTTCATAGTTCTTTGTGGCTGATTCCAAATTGTATTCAGAAACAACAATGTATTGATGAGTCTGTTTTACGGTTGCAGTATTTTGGTGGAACAAACTTTGGTCGAACTTCTGGTGGTCCTTTCTATATTACAAGCTACGATTATGATGCTCCTCTTGATGAATATGGTGGGTGCAAGCTAAGGCTTGCTGGTAAACAGATTGCTAAAAAAGAATCTAGTTACTGATTTTTTTTTAATAAAATTATGTTTTTCATTTACTAAGGTCTGAGGAGCGAGCCTAAATGGGGGCATCTAAAGGATCTTCATGCTGCCATAAAACTTTGTGAACCTGCCCTCGTTGCCGCAAATGCACCTCAATACAGAAAACTGGGATCAAATCAGGAGGTATGCTTCCTACTCTCAAGTCCTTGCTACTTATAGTTACATTTACTACTAGTAGAATTCACTCTTCTTTTCTAGGTTATAATAAACGAGTGCTGTTAGATAGATTTCCTGCCGGTTTTGATTCTTACCTTACTTTACCTGTCAAAAGTTTCGCGTGCTTTGGATATAACTATAGTTTTCATTGCCATTTATTGGGTGTTTCAGAATGTAATTCTAGTTTAAATATGTACTGAAAATATTACTGGGCTGTTGTTTTGATTACTTTTCAGAATGAATATTATAAAGTTTAGTATAATATATGCTGAAGATTCCAGATTCATACTTGTAAATAACGCAACTTCCAGGCACACATTTATCGTGGAGATGGTGAGACTGGAGGAAAGGTGTGCGCTGCATTTCTCGCAAACATTGATGAGCATAAATCCGCATATGTGAAATTTAATGGCCAATCATATACGTTACCACCTTGGTCAGTGAGTATATTACCAGACTGTCGACATGTGGCTTTCAACACTGCGAAGGTTTGATTTCCATTCCAACACTGCATATGTGAAAATTTGTAAATTCACTTTACTGGTACAGTGGTACTTGCTTGTGCTGTGCAATTCTGAAAGTATTTTGTGGGGTGCCTGACAGTGTCTTAAACACATATCTATTTTTATTGCAGAATACTGCTTACTGTGACTGAAATCTTCAAAAACAGAATTGTCACTGTGATTGGACACTTGATGGACTATTTCAGTAACACTATTTAGAACTGCCCCAACCTTTTTTTGCCAATATAATGATAGATAATAATAATGACAAAAAGGACGCCGCCAAATATCTTCTGTTCTGAACTTAACATGCCTGTCTTAATCAGGCATTTGGCTTTTAGATTTGCTTCAGATAGTAGTTGCCAATTTTTGGTCAAGATGGTTCTTTAGTTTCTCGTTTTTGTCTGTTATTGAGCAGGTAGGAGCACAAACTTCCGTTAAAACGGTTGAGTCTGCAAGACCTCATTTAGGTAGTATGTCTATACTGCACAAAGTCATGAGGAAGGATAATGTTTCTTATATCTCAAAATCATGGATGGCTCTAAAAGAGCCTATTGGCATATGGGGTGAAAACAATTTCACTTTCCAAGGATTATTGGAGCATTTGAATGTTACAAAAGACCAGACTGATTACCTGTGGCATAGAACGAGGTAGCTAGGCAGAATTATATGTTTCATGATCTAACTAACAACGATACCATTTGACTGACTTAGCCGAAATTATGAATTATGTTGCCAGCCCAGTATCTAGAGGAATTTAGTACCGTGAATTCTATGACATTTTTACTAGGTTTTTGTCTTTTTCTGTAATGGCTTTCCTTATTTCTCAATCAAATGTAGAATAAGCGTATCTGAGGATGATATCTCGTTCTGGAAGACAAACGAGGGTAACCCAACGGTGTCAATTGAGAGCATGAGGGATGTGTTGCGTGTGTTTGTTAACAAAGAACTATCAGGTAGTTTCTATTTCTCCTGCGTCTGTGTTTAGTTGTGTGATGTCTCTTGTGCTTAGGGTCACATTGCATTCATGAAGTGGAAAGTCTTAGAAATTGTTTTCTCTCATCTTTCGCTAACTTTTCTCCTCCTGCTTAATGGAAGTAAAGGCAGTGTTGTTGGTCACTGGGTGAAGGCAGAGCAGCCTGTACGTTTTGTGCAGGGAATTAATGATTTACTTCTGTTGACTCAAACAGTTGGTTTACAGGTAAAAATCTACTGCCTATTAATTCCTTTTGCTTTCTTTCTTACAGCTAATTGTGATCATTTTCTGCGTCATGGGCTCAGAATTATGGTGCTTTCTTGGAGAAGGATGGAGCTGGTTTTAGAGGCAAAGCGAAGCTTACTGGATTCAAGAATGGAGATGTGGACCTGTCAAAATCGTCATGGACCTATCAGGTGTACTAAAACAGATGAACTTTGCGGATTCTTTTTTCCTTTTCTCGCTTTTTTCTGAAATCTGAAGATCATTGGAGACGCATTTGAACGTTTTGTGGGGTTTATTGTAGGTGGGATTGAAGGGTGAGGCTGAGAAAATATATACTGTTGAACACAGTGAAAAAGCTGAGTGGAGTACTTTGGAGACCGAAGCTTCACCTTCAATCTTTATGTGGTACAAGGTATGTGAAACACGTTGACGTTCTGTTTTATTATCATCTCTCAGAAATCAACCCATCATCGTTCCTTTTGTTTTTTTCTCCTTATCGAACTAGACATACTTCGACACCCCAGGCGGAACAGATCCTGTTGTTCTTGATCTGGAAAGTATGGGAAAGGGACAAGCTTGGGTCAATGGACACCATATTGGAAGGTACTGGAACATCATTTCCCAAAAGGATGGATGTGACAGAACCTGTGATTATCGTGGAGCCTACAATTCAGATAAATGCACAACAAATTGTGGAAAGCCTACACAAACCAGGTATTGTGTATGTTATAATAATTGGAATTGACTATTATAAATGCCACTGAACCTACTATCATTTGTGCAGGTACCATGTACCACGTTCGTGGTTAAATCCGTCAAGTAATCTACTCGTGCTCTTTGAGGAAACCGGGGGAAACCCATTTGAGATTTCGGTTAAGACCGTTACTGCAGGGATTCTGTGCGGTCAAGTCTCGGAATCGCATTATCCACCTCTGCGGAAATGGTCCACACCAGATTTCATGAACGGAACGATGTGGATAAACAGTGTGGCACCAGAAATGCATCTGCGTTGTGAAGAAGGGCATGTGATATCCTCCATCGAATTCGCCAGCTATGGAACTCCAAGAGGTAGCTGTGAGAAGTTTTCTACCGGGAAATGCCATGCAGCCAAATCGTTATCAATCGTCTCTGAGGTAAAACTTTTGAGTTACCTATTGTGAAAGTCTGAAAGATGACTTGTGTGGACTATCTGAAAAAGTCATTGTTCTCTTCTGCAGGCTTGTCAAGGACGTAACAGCTGCTTCATCGAAGTGTCAAATGCTGCATTTCGCAGTGACCCATGTAGCGGAACTTTAAAGACGTTAGCGGTTATGGCACGATGTTCGCCGTCTCATGACGCGAGTTACTTCGGTTCTTAGACAGCGTGAAGCGGCTCAGGACGATGAACAACTGTCTTTCTTTTCTTGTTATGATTATAGTAAGAAGAACATGCCTCAACACAAAGCTTCTCGCTTTGATCTTTTTTATCTTCCAGAGACTGAACAATTGGGTATGAATTATGATCTTGCTTATTCATCGTTGTATCCAGTCTCTACTTGAAACCAATAAACTTTTAAGCATCTTTAATGTTTTCTGCTTGTACAATTTGTTGTTCGAGAATGTCCAACGACACTCGAAGTTGATGTAATGATCTCGATTGTTATAAATGGAAATATTTAAGTTTCTCTCTCTGCGTTACACATTATATATATTTTATATATTCACTTTTTTTTTTGACATCTTATATATTTTATATTTTCACTTTTAAATGAAAAAAACTACTTTTTGGGGTATAAATATAAGGTTGATTTAAGGAGATGGTTTTGTAAATTATAGAAATGTATTCTTCATTGTTGTTAGACTTGTTGTGTTCAGGTCAGGGACTGATTCCGCGCTTGGATGCCCACTGAAAAAATTTGGGTCACTACAAAATACAAATGTACTATAACCGAAAATATCTCTATAATATTATTTGAGAAGTCATTTTTTTCAAATAATCGAAATAATCAATGTATTTACGCTGATTGCCACTCAGTTATTGACTAAAATGTGTTTGGCAATATGTTTAATTAGGGATAAAACCGGCGAGTTCACTGAGTTAACACAGTTATGATGAATCGTTTTATGTCCAAACAAAAAAGTCCGACCCATTGATCCATTATGAAACACGCGGATCATCTTCTATTTGAATTAAACCAGTTTTTGTAAGCTGAAATAACTGTTAAACAACCGGTTAGACTAATAGATTTCGAATTCAAAACATGTGAATATCTCGACCTAAATATATGGTAACTGGTATATGTATTTTCGTTCAATCATCTAAACGGTATCCTATATTACCGTTTACTATCTAACATTTAACTCAGATCCTAATTAAATATTCTTAACAAACAATACCGAACAATATCATAAATTATCAGAATATTCTAATCAATCTACATATTCCTTCCTATGGCAATCAAATCAATCTCACATATGTAACAAGATATATTTTTAGCTAATCTGTTTATCTATAGTCATGACAGATATGAAAGATCTTGCTATAATAATGAAGATCTCTAAATATTGGCGACTATATTCTTTCAAATAAATTTCAAATTAACATAATTGATTACATATAAATATAAGAAACAAGTTAACATGTCGCCATACCTTTTTACGCAATCCTAAGAAATGACTTCTAAACTTCCAATAACTTCTGTTCAAAATATTAAGCCCTTCAAATCCAGTTGGAGGATTCAAGTCAAAATCCTGCACATTTGGAAGCAGTTTGCTTTCACGTCAGGAGAATCTATGGAAATGGTTTTAGTCGACAAAGAGGTAATTTATCTTAATATAAGAAACTTGAGTCCTTATGATGTTAGCTAAAACATTTTATAATTTTTGACAGGGTACGAGAATTCATTGTTCTATTAAGAAACATCACTTGAAGAGATACGAGAACCATCTATCTGTAGGAAGCTGGAAATTCATTGAAGCGTTCAACGTTACCAATTCAATTGGACAATACAGGACTACCAAACATTGTTACCGGATTAGTTTTGTCAAAGACACAATTGTCTATAATTCTGTAACCGTGTCAAACTCTGAATTCTTGGACTTGGTCCGCTTCAGTCAAATTCATGAAAGAATACAGAATCAGAGCATTTTTTACCGTAAAAAATTTCATCACAAAATTATATTATCTGATTTACGCTATATATTTCTAACCTAATATGTTAATTTTTTTAAGATGTTCTCGTCCAGATAGTGAATGTGGGGCAACTGTCTACGATGCATGTCAATAACAAGGAGGCAAAGAAAATTGATTTCGAACTAAGGGATGATCAGTAAGTATTAGTAATCTGTTTCTTTTAAACTCATATATGTTCTGTTAATGTTATGCATCGATAATTCCGAGTTATATTGAGGATTTACTTTCGTTAATGTTAAAACCTAAAAATGGATTCAGTGATATGCCTCTAAGTTGTACCTTATGGGGAAATTTTGCTGATCAAATCGTCGAAGCCACTTCCAATAATGAGACTGAAAAATTAATTTATCTCATTAAATTTGGAAAAATTAAAGAGTTCAGAAGTACACGTTCTACATTATCCAGTTAGAAGCTCCACTATTTTCAAATCTGTATTCCTTACTTTTGTTTTGTCTATTACCTTCAGACATAAAAAGTGTTTCCAACGCTTTTGATGCCAGTTTAATAATTATAAACCCGTCTGGAGCACAAATTGACCACTTTTTGGATGCGTGAGTGCCTATATTTTTGAAAAGATCTGAGATAATGTACACTTTAATTTGTCTATCAATACTCCCTATGGTCTCATAACATTCAAATTTTGATTGCAGATTACCAGATGATGGCTTGGATCTTACTCTGTTGGAAACCAAACCTAAAAAGGAAATACTGGCAAAGACGGAGGATTACTGGAACCAGTTTCCTATGGTCACAGTTGTTGAAATCAGAATTAACCGAGGTATTTTTTTAATCATCTCATGCATAATAGGCTATGTATTTGACAAAGCTTTAAAATATACTTCTTAATAATGTTTCTTGAATGTTTCTTGCAATTTGTTAGGTCGGCAAAGTAAGGATCATCTGCACAGTTTACGCCATTGACACTGACTGGGGATGGTATTATTTTGGGTGCAAAATTAAAAATCATAAGAAGGTTAGAAAGATCGTGGCAGGAACTAATGGTGTTGTAGTTCTCGGAGGGAAACCTAGGTGGCATTGTAATGAATGCAATAAGACTGTCACGAATGTTGTCTCCAAGTAAGTGACCTAACTTTTTTTATTGAACCACACCATAAGTCTTTGATAATAGTCACGATTTCATCGTTTTCTTATGTCAGGTTCAAGCTGCATCTGAAGGTTATGGATACAACAGGTGAGATTACTATATTGTTATTCGATACATCGTCAAGTGAGATGTTAAAATGTCAAGCATCAGAATTGCTCAACGGATCATTCGATGAGGTATCTAAATTTTATTACCTTTAAATTTAGCATGTAATTTAATTGGTAGACCTTTGATTGCATTGGAAGTTTTTCAATTAAATTTAACATGTGTTCTATGATACATCGGCAAGTGAGATGTTAAAATGCCAAACATCAAAATTATTTAGTTGTTTATTTACGTGTGTTCTATAATATTGTATTGCTTAGATTGAAGATCCTGAAGAAATCCCATAAACATTAAAGAACTTAGTCGAAAAAACTTTTCAGTTTGTTCTTGCTGTTGATAAAGAAAAGCTCGGTGGTGGTCACAATACTATCAAGGTTTCCAAGATTTTGAGTAACAAGGGTATGGTTGAAGATTTAACTGTTGATGATTCAGAAAAGCCAGTGAATATTTCAGAACTGGTTTCTGGTGATGAGGTATATTTAACATTAATAATTTTAAGATACAAATTTATATTTAAATGAGCACTTCGTTATAGTCTATTGTTTTTTTTCTTAGGGTTTGTTGACTCTTACCAACACAGAGTCAATTGTCGATGATGAAATTCCAAACCAAGTTACTCCTACTTCGAAGAGAAAAGATGACCCTATAATTGAAGTTCTGGAAGACCAACATTCAGCAAGTAAGAAGCAATGCAAACTTCAGGTCAAAATTGAGAAGTTTTGAAATGAAAGCAAAAGTGGCTAATGTTGAGTTATAATTATTTGTTCTAAGTGATTTTTTTTGGTATTTTGTTTCTATTTTTCTAAGTTGTTCACTGCGTGATTTTTGCCATAAAAGACACCAATTCAACTCTATTTTAATTGCTTCAACTATCTTATTTTGTCTTGCTTATTCACTACTTTTTAATTGCTTTTTTATGTAACTTGGTTATCTAATTTATTTGAGATTTTTATTCTCTACACTGTTCTAAATTGGCAGTTATGATTATCAATAACACTGTATATTTAATTCTAAATATATGTTACATACCTAATTCTCTAAGTCGTTACACACCTAATGGGGAAACTTACCGAGAAATGAAATTTGGACAATGTGTTGTCATATCACATTTTCCCGATTTTTAACTAATGCAATCAAATATACCTGTAAAAAAAAGGAATTTTGTTACTCGAGATTCAATAATATCAAAAATATCAACCGATATATAATTGTTTATCACGTTAACCTCGAATATCTCTCACTATATATACGGCCTCAACCCATAGCAGTTCTATCATGTTCTTAAAAAAAAATAGATACATATATGGTTATCCAATATTTAGATATTATACCGAGAGGCATCAATTACGTCTTTTCAATTGATGTCTTTTGGTTCAATGATAATTTGAAATTTGAATTTAAGATGCATCTTTTCGATATTATCGAAAACCCTAATCGTTCTTACTCTATATATATGAGGGAAGACCTTAAGTGATTTTATCACCCGAAACCTCTCATTATTCTCTCTGTCTTTTAAACCGTTAGTTTTGTTTCAGTTAAGTATGGATGATATTTTTCACAATATCAGGAATTTAAACTAGTGGAGATCTAACTGGCATATTCATATCATGGTTTTTAAGTCTTGGGAATCCCAATCTCAAGGCGAAATCGAAGTGTTAAACTTCATCTTTGTCGATGAAGAGGTATGTTTTACTTCGTCATATTCAATATCTCAGTGTTCTTTTAGTAATAATACATGTCTAATGTATAATTTATTAAAATTTTGTAGGGTGATAAAATTCATGCTATATGTGATGATCTTCAGAACCAGCCTTATTACAGAACAAAACTAATTGTTGGTAAATGGTATAAGTTGCATCATTTTACTGTCTTTGAAAGTGATGCAGTTAATCGTTTGGTCGATTGCATGTGGAAAATTTGTCTACTCGACAACACTTATGTGAGGAAAGAGTATGATGTAACCGATAAGTATTACATGAAATCTACAAGTTTTGATGATGTTACGAGTGGAAGATTCGACCGTGGCTTACCTGTTTGTAAGTATTTTTGGTTTTTTTCTAAGTTTAATTTTTGTTTACCTAATTATTAGTTAACATTATATTATTTTTCGTCTTATTTGTCAGATGTGTTGGGTAGGATATCTATGCTTACAGATATTGTCAAAGTAAAAGATTCGGACTTTGGCCCTATGTGTCCTGCCAACACATGCCGTCTCGAATTTGCTATTCAGAATGCACAGTACATTTTAATTTGATATATAGAATTGATATTTATGAATGATCTTAATTTAAAGTTCACATAGGTTTAAACTGCATCTCACTATTAGATGTG